TACATGTACGCAGTATATAATCTTATTACATTCACCGAAACATGGGAATAAATGCAGCACACGTAATTTTTAAAAACCGATTGATAATTTTAGTTTTCCTAAAATAATAATGGATCCTCTTGTAATTAATTTTTACTTACTCCCTCTTACCTGCTAAGAAATATACAGGATCTCTGTGCTCTTCAATTTCCATAAGACACATAAGACTTTATTTTGTTACAGAAAAGAGGCAAATAAAGAATTTATGTTGCTTGCGTCTGTGGTTTTTACAATATGGAATTGTCATTTCAGATTGTCAGCTTCCTTTTCTGGTTATAATATGTATAGCAACCCAGATGGCTAATATATAAACAACCTGATGCTTATTTAAATCGCTTAGGATAGCTCAGGAGGCTGCTGAGACCTGGGACCATCTGTTTATTGCTCCGTTACTTCTAGGCTTGTGTGTGCTTTCAACTTCTTCACATGTCTCAGCCTCTACCTTCCTTATATATACACTGAAGAGTCTTAGACTGAATTTAACCCATCATACCTCTTGAGGCACTGTTCTAAAACCTTAATCCCAGCCTGCCTTTTTCATCATTCCTTCTTATTCCTATTTTATTTGAGTTTTTCCTGTTATTACTATCCTCAATAGTCACTTTGCAGAAGAGTAACTAGGAATATGGGCTTTGTAGTCAGGTTGGAATCTTAATTGGCTATGTATGTAGCTGTTTGACCTGGGCAAGTTCTTTCACCTTGATTTCCTCATCTGTGGAATGAAATATAATACCTACCTCATAGATTTGTTAGAATGATTAACCAGGATAAAATATATGTACCATTTGCTACATCATAAGTACTGGGTACTATTATTAACATTGTTTTAGAAAGAAAATTCTCATAATGACCAAAAGATAATTAAAAGTACATTTAGAATATCATATACTAGAATTTCATACAACAGTCTTTTTTGGAGGGAATATCTGTTTCTCTTTAAGAATCTAATTATTTATGTGGAAGCACACACCACAACAAAACGTATGTAGGAATTACTGAGTGATTGCAGTAGGGTTCGTTTATACTCCTTTTTCACTGGATGCATGGCAAAACTTTGGACCATGAATAGCTGGAGAGAAGTTTCTCTTGGCACCTGTTTGGGTTCCCTTCTGATGTCCCTAGTTACATATTAGACTATAAGCTGCTCTGGAACCTCACATTCACATCTATAATGGTTCCACATACAAGCTCCTTAAAGAGAGAGACCAGAAACTGACACTTCCCATGTTAGCCCCTATGAGGACATGGCCTGTAATCCTCACAACCCTGTGGATTAGGTCATTATTTCTACCTAATTTTATGTGAATTACTATTTCCAAATCAGAAATAATCAGAGTTTTTAAAATAAGAGTGTGCTTACACAGTCAAGGAAAATAAAAATACGATTAATCTGGACAGTCTTGGAAATTCAGGGTACACGGTTACTATAGTAATTATGGTGTCATAATATGGTATATAATAGAGATATGTACTTTCTGGAGGATTAATGTGGTATGTTGACCTATAAATCTGCCAATGAGATTCAAATATTCCTTTTAAGTTTGTGTGTGTGTGTGTGTGTGTGTGTGTGTACAGCTTCTGTATGAAAAAATAGGTTAAACAAGGATGCCCTGTTTTGATGGTTCCCCAAAGAACCATATAACGATATATAAATCATTTGTATATGAACTCAGTAGGAAGTCACTCTGTGTAGTTGCTTGACCCAAACATCTTTTTTTCTCAAATCTTTAAAAGAAGTTTTAGCACAAGGCTGTGGAAGTAAAAACTTAAGTCTCTTTAATAATAAATACTTCAGTTAGCAAAGAATTAGGATGTCAAATGGTATCATTTGGTCAGGACATATCCTTATAAAACTGAATCATAGTCCTCTGTTACATATTTTTCTGTTATCTTCCATGATTTTTAAAATATGTCTTATATACAGTACTTTAAAATACTTTAATTCCACTTACTGTGTAGTAATTGTTTCCAAATTAAGGAAATGTTACATATAAAGTTACAAAACTAACATAAAATGGTAACTTTTATTCACATAAGGTGATTCTTTACTCTTTTATATCAATGCTATTTAATTAGAAAAGTAACACTGTTTCATAAAAACTCTAACAGTACATATAAGGTATAAAGTAGAGTCCTTTCTACCTCTTTGCATCTCCTGGCCTCAGAGGGTGACTGCCAGTTTTAGTTCAAGTGTGACCTTTCAGACATTTTTCTGTGCCCATGCAAACACACAGGTGTATCTTGTAAAGAGTGATTGTAACATTCTTGAGGAATTAGGAGCAGTGTTATTTGGAAAAAAAAAAAGTTTGATGATGGTAGTCTTTATGTTAAAAGGAGTCATTTTCACAAACACTGGCAGATCATTTTGTTGTAGCCTCAGCTTTCCACTATTTTATAACAGGTGTAAAGTCAAGGGCATTTAGTGAAATGTTTTACCTTTGATTTTCTGTACTTTACAGTTTGACCATGGGTAGTTTATGAAGAGTACATATTCAGGGAAGATGGAAAAACAGCCTGTGTCAACTAAACTAATAAAACAGAGCTAATCCCATATCAACAATTTAAATCCCTTTAAAATTATTTGTTGCAAACAAGAAACAATCCACCAATCTATCTTTTTTTTTTTTTTAAAGCTTATTAGTAGTGGAATTTCTTAGGTAATTCTTGTAGTGTTCTCAAGTTGTTAATGAAGATTTCCTGTAGCTAAGAAAAACCAACACTATAAATCATAGGGGTTATGGGGGCAGTGGTTATGGGTTGTTATCCAACTGTAAATGGCTAGTTGGATCTCTTTGATGCTAATTTGTCCTGTTCTCAGGCCCTTGCTGCCCTGTTACGTTTGTCACTTGAAGAAATATGCACAGAGCATAGGTAGTAAACATGAGGTGTCAGGGTTCCTGCATTTAAAAATTTGTTTGAATGAAAATTTTAGAATATAACAATAGCCAAATTATGGAAAGTATCCATTGACTGATGAATGGATAAAGAAGATATGGTATATACATATAATGGAATATTACTTACCCATAAAGGGAATGACTTCTTGCCATTTATAACAATATGGATGGATCTAGAGAGTATTATGTTAAGTGAAGTAAGTCAGAGAAAGATACCATATGATTTTAATCGTATGTAGAAATTAAAAAACAAAACAAATGACCAGAGAGAGAGAGAGAGAGAGAGAGATGGATGCAAATCAAGAAACAGACTCTTAACTTTAGAGAACACAGAGGGAGGGAGGGTAGGGGGGATGGATGAAATCGGTGATGGGGATTAAGAAGGGTACTTGTTTGGATGAGCACCTGGTGATATCTGGAAGTGTTGAATCACTATATTGTACACCTAAAATGAATTTTATACTGTATGTTAACTGGAATTTAAGTAAAATCTTAAGGAGTGCCTGGGTGACTCCGTTGGCTAAGCATCTGCCTTTGGCTTAGGTCATGATTCAGGGTTCTGGGATCAAGCCCCCGAATTGGCCTCCTTGCCCCATGGGGAGCCTGCTTCTCCCTCTCCCTCTGCCTGCCCTCTCCCTACTTGTGCTCACTCTCTCTCTGTCATATAAATAAAATCTTTAAAAATAATTAAATAAGTAAAAAAAGCATTGTGTTAAGCAAATTAAAATAAGATACAGTTAAGTAAAATACGTAAGGAAGGTGGACCTCTGACTTTTTCTAAAGGAAGGTAATATAGAAATAGGGGCATAAAAACCGTCAGTTTTTTCTTGGGGGGGGGGGTTACGTATAGTTGACACAACATTATAGGGTACAATTTAGTGATTTGACAAGTTTATACATCATGCTACTTCACAGGCGCAGCTACCATCTGTCCCATTGCATCACTATTACAGTATCATTGCCTGTATTCTTGTACTCTGCTTTTTATTCCTATGACTTAACTATTCTATAATTGGAGACCTGCATTTCTCTCTCCCTGTCACCCATTTTGCCCAACTCCCCACCCACCTCCCCTCTGGCAACCATCAGCAGAAACCTAAGATTTTATTTGAGGTAATAGCTGTGAAAAGTAATGTTAATATCATTTTCATAGGAATAGTTTAATCACATATCTCTCTTTAGATTTTTTTTTTAACTCTCTAAAAATTTCATTTTCAGGTTTGAATTGGTCACCTGAATAACTTTTTTCTTCTAAGGATAATTTCCTATAGAATTCTTCAAGGATGGTTGGTAGTTTACATTTTTGATTCAGAGCTCTAGCCTCATGGAGTTCATTGTTTCTCAGGAGAGACAAATATCTGGGCAATTACAGTGGATCTTGCCAAGTGCAGTACCGTAAGAGCTCAGGGCAGAAACCCCTCTTATCAGTGGTGCCACCAGGGAAGGATTCCCAGCAGTGGTGACTCCTAACATGATATCTGAGAGATGTGCACACATCAGTCAGGCAAAGAGCGATGGGCTTTGGGCAGTGAATTGGCCATGGACCTATCAGCATCTAAAAAGCTTGGCCATGAGAGAATGCAGAGGACAGTTAAGTAACTGGTAGAGAAGTTCAGCCTGACTGTAGAGTAATTAGAAATATTTATTAAGAAAGTAATGCATGTCCATTGTATATAAGATTTTAAAAATACAGGACACAAGAGAAAACATATACTACCACTAATTTTAAGCTGCAGAGTTTCCTATAAACATTTTGTTATGATTTTGTCATGCATAACATTTGTATTTGTAGGACAACGTCTTTGGTATAGTCCCAGTTAGGCTTAAACAAGAGATATGTATGGAGGCATAAATGCAGACGCATGTACAAAAACATTTTAAGTAAAATTGGGATCATGTCAAACATGCTGTGTGTTACTTTATTTTTTAACTTTTTTTTTACATTATAATATACTTAATTATTTTAATGCCCTTAGAAAGAATTACATTTTAAGTGGAAATGTTTCATCTCTGTGAATAAAAAGAAACATTCTTGAAGTTTACTATCTGTATTCTTCTCTATAGGAAGAATGCTTCCTGAATCTAGAGGCTCCTATATCAAGAGTATGTGGGTATGACACACCGTTCCCTCACATTTTTGAGCCATTCTACATCCCAGACAAATGGAAGTGCTATGATGCCCTTCGAAAAATGATCAACTATTGACCGTATTGGTAAGTCTGCTCTGCATTTTGAGAAAGCTAGCATATGCCACTCACATGAATGTGCTGTTAACCAAGAGCCATTGTCATCAGTGTGTTGGCAATTTCCGAAACAAAATGTGGATTTAAGAAAAAAAATTCAAATTTACAGTGGTAAATTTATTTACATTTAATAGAAACGCATCAGGTATATGTTTATCTGATATCTATAAGACAGATGTATGTATATATTGAGTAATCAGTAAAGATGAAGATGCTCTGTACCATGGTTTGATTGTAAATACACCTTACTCCACTCTTCCAACTTTATCCTCATTTCTCTATATTTTTATCAGCTATTTAAACTGTTCACGAATAGGGTTAATTTCTGTTATTTAAAAATGGTTTTGGGACACATGGGTGGCTCAGCGGTTGAGCAACTACCTTCAGCTCAGGACATGATACCAGGGTCTGGAGATCAGGTCCTGCATCAGGCTCCCTGCAAAGAGCCTGCTTCTCCCTCTGCCTATGTCTCTCTCTCTCTCTCTGTCTCTCATGAATAAATAGAATCTTTAAAAAAATAAAGGTCCTTTGAGCACTAATAGTTTAGAATCCAATGAATTAAACTATATGAAATTTGCCTTTATATTTAAAAAAAAAGGTTTGTTAAGCAGGAAACCTATTTATTGCGTATAGGGAAGTTTTTACTTAAAAGAAAAATCCAGCACCACTACCATTTTCAGAATCCTTTTTGGAAATTGAATGTTTTTAAATTGTGAATAATAAATGATATTTGTTTATGATGATTTTCTATGCCATGCTTATCTGCCTCTTCAGTGTTATTCTAGCAAAAATGAATATCATTAAAGACTGTTTAGTTTTCAGAATTTTAATATAGAAGTTGCTAGCATTGACATGCTGTTTCATTTTATCTTGGCATTTTTGAAATGCATAGATAGGATTGAATTTTACATTTAATATTTTAATATTAACATGTCATATTTACATTTTAATATCTAGATTGTCTAAAAATAGCAACAGTAATACATTTTGAACAACTGCTGTCTTTTTAAAAAAAAAAAAAGATTTTATTTATCTATTCATGAGAGCCACAGAGAGGCAGAGACATAGGCAGAGGGAGAAGCAGGCTCCCTATGGGGAGCCCGATGCTGGACTTGATCCCAGGACCCTGGGATCACGACCTGGGCCAAAGGCATATGCTCAACCACTGAGCCACGCACGTGCCCCAAGAACTACCATCTTTCAAAGAAAAGGGGGAGAATAGGTTCTGTGTAATAACATAGACCTATACTTTTAAAGATAAATACTATAATTCTTGAATTCTATGTATGAGGAGTAGTAAACCTACCTCATCTCCTATCTTTAAATTTGTATAGGTAAAGAAAATAATATCCCCATCTGCCACTATGATCCCCACATTTTTGCAGTTCTATTTTGAGAATGTTGCAGATGTAAGTTCAGGCCATTAGTCCACATGTCCTCAGCGTTCTCTCAGACATACAGAGGTAGATACTGTATATCTGGCGTCCTCTTAATATCTATAAAAGCAACTGGCTTCTACAGTAGATCACACTTATGACTAGTTAGAGAAATACCATCTTTGTTGTCCATCTTGGCTCCTTCTATAGACTGTGCATAATGGATAGCCAAGGTAGTAATAACGCATGGCTATAGTATTTAGGTGCTGGTTTAAATTTGGGTCTATATTTCTTTTTAAACCTAAAAAATACTTAAGCCTATCATGAAAACATGATAGAAGAATAGTTTTTCTATGTGTCAAGCTAAATATGGCATTAAGGAGAATAGTCATGCATCTGAGAAATCTATATTTAATTCATGGTGGCCAGAATGTCTATAATTGTTGTTGATTTCTTTTACAGAAAAACTGGAAGATTGTGACTAGATACGGAAATATTTTTCTGAAAAAAAATTTTTTTTTATTTCCTCAGACTTCTCTCTTCTTGAAAATAGAGTTTTTATGAACTGAACCACCTTGGATATTGGCTGAAAATTTTAAATTAATTATTGTATTAACACATATGAATTGATGATTTCCATTAAGAGTGTCTCAGATTAACTTTTTAAAATGTTTCACTCGGTAGTCCTATAAATTCCATTTAATTACATCTGTAAATATTGGGTGTGGGATAGTATTCAATAAAGCAAAATCAGATTGGCCTCAGGTTGTGTGTCCTTTTTTTTTTTTCATTAGCTAAAAGAATTTTCATCAAAGTAATAGATTAACTTGTTGATTAAATCTGAATAAAATTAAAATGTTTAGAAATGCTGATTTTCAGCTTCAATATGTTTGGTATAGTTCTTTATGGTTAAGATAGTTGGATGTTGGTGAGACTTCTGCGATATTTTTCCTCATTCTTCCCTCTTGTCTCAACAAAATGCACTGATGGACATACTCACTTTTTCTCCAAAGCATGGTGGGTCAGGATCATCCTTGCTGCTGCCTCTCTTCCTAATTTTCATAGATGGACAGCATGAGCCTGTCTTTTGTTATAAAATGGCCAAGCTTTTGCTACAATTTTTTTTGTTTCATTTTGTTCTGTTTTTGCTATGATATTGCAAAGCAAGTATCTTTTCCCACTTATTTGTAAATAAAAAGAAGCAGAGCATGAGCAGCATTAAAAGGCTCTGGCAAGAGGAAGCTTCTATATTGGGGACATTGCCAGGACCCCTCATTTCTTAATCTGCCTTTTCTGCCCCTCATCTTGTTTTGAAACAGCTGTATATATCCTACAGAATCCCCTTCCCAGAACACCTCCTCTCTGGGGGCCTGGCTCTCACAGGTGATGCTAGTAGATCTACCACCCCTTCCATAGATTCCAGAAAAGTTTGTTCTTACCAGTTCCAGCAGAAAGATCCACCTTCCTGAAAAAAACAAAGAAACAGGGCCATGGAGTGTTTTCCTTTCTCTATAAAGACAAAATAGCTATTTTCTTATGATTACAAATGTTTATTTTACTTTAAAACTACAATTTAAAAAGCTGCATTTTATTTACTTTTATCAGCTATTTGGAGGATACAGAAATCTCCAGTATCATTTATAGATTTCCAGAAATTTGGAGGTAAAGTGAATGCCTTGTCACAGATTCTATGTAGCAATGGGCTGAAGTAAAGAACCAGAGCACTTGTCAGGGTAAAAATGAAGTTCTGTCCTTGGTTTAAAAATTAGAGTGAAGTAAGTCAATCGGAGAAGGACAAACAGTGTATGTTCTCACTCATTTGGGGAATATGAATAATAGTGAAGGGGAATATAAGGGAAGGGAGAAGAAATGTGTGGGAGATATCAGAAAGGGACACAGAACATAAAGACTTCTAACTCTGGGAAATGAACTAGGGGTGGTGGAAGGGGAGGAGGGCGGGGGGTGGGGGTGAATGGGTGACGGGCACGGAGGGGGACACTTGACGGGATGAGCACTGGGTGTTATTCTGTATGTTGGTAAATTGAACACCAATAAAAATTAATTTATTAAAAAAAATAAAAATAAAAATTAGAAACACCTGTATATCCTAGAATGGGAAAAGATGTATTTGTCAGCATCAAGTTTGGGTAACATTTAGGGAGTCCGATTGGCTTATGCTACAGGAGATTCTGAGTTTAAAATGGATGGCCTTTGGCTTTTCTTCGCTGTCCATGAGAGTCACAAGGCATCCTTGCAGGGAAGGGAATTCTTGCCTCATGTGGTCAGTCTAGCAGAGTGGGAAACATAACAGTAGTCAACCCCATTGTGGCCTATTCTGGGTCCTACTCAAAGATGTTCATTTTAGCTGAACTTACTTTTTTAGTTGGTACTATTTATGATTTTAGTTAAAGTTCCTTGTTTCAGTTAATTGCCAAATGTATCTTTTTAATATAATCTTTTCTGTATGTCTGGCCTTGTAAGAATTTTCCCTTAGTGATTTTAATTTTAGTATCTCTTACTCTGTTTTGAAATAGCAGGCATGAGGACAACCATGGGGATACTCTGTGCTTGAAGTAGCTGAGTTGGAAGGCATCTCCCCCTTCTAGTTAGCCCTGCAGTCCCCACCAGTAAGCACCCCTTCCCCTTCCGAAAGAAATGACTTACAGTTAATATAAAACTTAGTCTGTGGCACAGGATGTACCTGTACACCTAAATGGCTATCTTAAGTACATTCTCTTTACACAAAGCAAACGTTCCATATAGTGAAAATAAGAGCATTGAAATGAGGAGACACCCAGGTGGTGTTAAGTGAATTTGGAGAAGTTCCAAATCCCCAGGACTCCGAGCTCAGCATAGGAAGGGTGTTCCCTGGGACAATATAGATTTTAAAAAGCAAAGGTAATCTTCTACACTTCAAATCTCCAATTCCTTTAGGAAAACAAACATGATCTAACATCCACGTTCTATACAACTGATAGGTATCCTCCAAGTTATGTGAAGAGACCTGTATACACACTAAAAAAAGAAAGGCGGCATGGGAGATCGAGAAAATGACCTCAATTCAATCCCTTAGGTTTAAGTCACATAAAACAGAAACTCTAAGGAAGAATCCTGAGTAGACATCCCTAGAGGTTCCACATTTGGTTTAGTGAAATCGCTTTCCCATCAGATGCTCACCAGTGATGGACATGTGTGGTTTCCAGCAGCCTGGCATCCCTACCCCCACCTTCTAGTAACAGTGCTGATGTTTGAGAACATTCGTTGAGAACTCCCTCCTCACTGCATGTGGCTCTGGAGGGGCTGCCAACTCCAGTGCTGTTCAGCACTAGCCACAGAGATGGCCCTGACCCAGCCTGGTCAGATGCATCAGAAAGGAAGTTGGGTTACCCATGCAGAAACAAAACTTGGCCTCTGCCTTGTTGATGACACTAATTTCTAAAAGATTCTCAAACTTTTACCTTTTTCAAGTATACCTGAGGATATACTTGATCAATGTTAACCAGCTAGGTGCAATGTTGACTTTAGCAGAAACACTTGGCTGAAGGGTGAGAAGCATGACCCCAAAGCCACCCTGTCAGAATTTCCAGAGAGACG